TATGATGAAAAGAAAGAACTGGTGGTGAAAAGTAAAAAAAAAAAAGACTACTTGTTTGCTTCAGTTTTATTAGTGCCATACATATTTTATGTTGAATCATTAAAATATGACTAGTCTTTAAAAACCTTGGAAAGCAGATATATTTGTTGTTAGGACTTAGACGAAATGTACAATCAAATAAATATGTGGTCACCAAACATCTTGCAGGTCTGCCAAATTTTATTAGACCAATCAGCGTCTAGACAAAATGGAGAATTTCAAAAAGATGGTACAATTTTGTATTTCTTCCTTTTAAAATACCTTGTAGTGTATTTTCTAAGGAGCACATCTCTAATACAAATGCACATAAACAAGTAAACTGCATACATGTTTTATGTTGAGTCATTAAAATATGACTTGTCTTGAACATAGAGACACACCTTGGTCATTTACCGAAGCCATGCGCTACTAATAATAGAGCAAAATACAGAATGAAAACAAAAATTGTTGGTTATTTTTCCACCGCTTTTTTTGTACATAGCAGGACAAAGAAGATATACCTGATCTCTTCCATACATGGCACTGCGCAAGGAATAAAATAATAATACCACTATATTAATTAGCATGAATAATTAATATTTTGGACCGTCTTTACTAGGTGCTCAACTTGATTATATTTCAAGTAATTTTTATTTAAGGTAAAAGCCTACTTTAACTTTTTGAGAAATTACATGCACAATCACGGTAACATTTATTGCACAATGAATGAATTTCGAATATTGTCATTTTCTAGTCGGCTTCTACCTTAATCTTGTAATGTATACACCACCTAGAATATATCTTCTTTCCAAGGTTTTTAAAGACTTCTACAATAAACACCTAGTAACTTTTGAGCGCTTAGTCAACTTTTGTCACCTTCTCAAAAAAAAAATCTTTTTCATATTCTAAAATTTTTATCAAAACCCCCAGGCAACTTGAAATTATATTCATTCGCTCACAAATTATCAAAATAAATAAATAAAAATAAGGTTTGAAAAAAAAATTACCCCCCCCCCCCCCGCCTCTAAAACAAAAATTGTGATCTATGCTATTTCAAACGAACCAATCCAGTATTCTTGCATTCATTCTCGGTGTTTATTGTTAAATGTCTAGGCACAACTGTCATGCAATTATAATGCAATAATCTGCACATTATAGGTCCACTGTAACAATTGCACTGCATTAACACCATAGTGTAATAATCTCCCTGCATTGATTGCCAATAGGTGATTTTCCATTCAACTGCGAGATCTCGCGAGTTGCATGAAAGACGGGAGTCGAACGTCTGCCGCAAAAATCGAACGGTTTGATTATGAACTCGAATTACTACATTTCTTAGCTCACATCGACCGGCCGATCATCGACAGAGAAATATTTCGTTTTTGAATACCCGTATTTCATCGAAATTGCCTCTTATCAAATGTGTACAGCACATTATTAAGCATGGAAATGCCCCCCAAAATATTTTCACGTTTGTCGAATGCCACGTGATGTTTGACGCCACTATGACCTTTGTTTGTTCTGTTTTTACGTTCAGTTTCACGCATAATTCTCGCAGTGAAAAGAAAATGATCTATTGTAGCAGTGCATTTAGATATAAATTTCATTTCTATGCAGAAACAAGTCTGCATCTTGAAGTTCAGAGAAAAAAATGGGGGATTTGAGATTCACGTAAACCACTTGCATTATATAGGCATCAATTTCCTCTATTATAAAGCTACAATCGTTGCATTGCTAGATTTGAAACCCATAGTGACATGCACAACATTTGAGCTTTGAATACGCAGTGATTGTGGCACTTTAAAATTTAATATGTGCCTTACCCATATTTGTATTTCGTTTTTCAGAAAAAAAAATTTCTTGTAATTTTCCAATGCAATTTAATCTGTACTCAGGTTTTACTCTTAATGTAATCATATTTTTCATGACTTTCAATTCGTATGAATTGAAAACCTCATTACCTGCCCTTTATGCGTGTCTCAATTTATAAGCAATTTGAAACGTATGACCAATATTACCTTTTCCTTGCTTCTTATTACACGTTGTGTCCTATGTTTGTGTTCGTTTTGTGTTGTTTGTTTTTATTGTACGGATCATGGGTCATTATCAAACGTGATGAGTTTGATAATTTGCCAATCGACGTTGCTCCACGCATGCATGAGATGTGGGTCCCAGATTAACCAAGATGGCAACTTTGCAGACACTATCAAGGTTTAACTAGGTAATTCCTGGGATAGTTAAAAACTTGTTAAGTCGGTCGGTCGGTCTGTATCTAAACGTGCATTGCTGCTTAGAAAGCACATTAAGTCGCGAGAAAATCACCAACAATAGTTTAGTCTGTTTTCCCACCAGACTTGTAATACTCTGACTGTGGAGGGGGGATAATATTGTTCACAATTTTTTTTTTCTTTTTCAAAAATGGTACATTAAAGATCTTTTTTTTTTGACTGCCAAGAATGTTGTTTGTGTTATTATTGATGTTACAGTAACGGTAACGGTGCCTGTACTTAAAAACACCAAGTAACTCTAATGGATAATTGTGCATAAATGTAAAACAAAGTGCAATGTATATTGTAGTAGAACCAAAACACAATGCAAGATTCAACAAACTAGAAAGTATTTTGAGTGGTATATATCCACACTTAAGGTAGAAGCCTACTCGTAAATTAAAAAACCCAGAATTTATTCATTTTTCAATAAACTGTACTCCAAGGCAATATAAGGATATTGACCTAAAAAAGTTGGGGGTCACCAGCCTTTTTTTCGAGAAATAGTTATATTGTAGTGGAAAGTTGCCACTATTATATAACACTTTTACCACAGGTTCCTATGGCAGGGATATTATGCAATATCTCAAAATCTAACCTGGTGACATAGGCTGCAAAAATCATATATTAAGAATGGACTACTTTTTTTTGTTCTGAATTATTTGGGTTTTAAAAAGTGTCAAAAAATGCAATTTTTCTTTAACATTGTGTTCTATGGAATTGCTCTATAAATAGCACTTTTCAAAAAATATTAGGACACGTTTCTCAAAAAACACAACTGTATAACACACAAAATAATGCTATTTCATTGTACCATGAGACATTAGCTCCATGATTGTACATAATAAACTAATGAACATTGTCATGCGATTTATGACCAATTTTGTCAAAAATTATGACTAGGCTTCTACCTTAACAATGGTCAATTTTGGTAAAGAGCATATCGAGTGCATAAGCTATATAAAAACAATCGAAAATCAAGCTCAAAATTTGGTTTATACGGCAGACATTTGGTCCACACCATTCCGACTATGCAAGATCTTGATATAAACAAAAAATTGCTGTTTTTGAATTTGCATACAAAACTTGAAATATTCATGAAAATTATCTTAATTGGCCTAGAGGGCGATATTTAATTACACCTAGCTACAATAAAGGTTTAATTTATTCATGTAAATGTCAGACACTGATGAATATATTGCACAATTTATTCAATTAACTTAAAATTACACAAGTGTAGTATACGAGGTATTCCAAGTGTGACAAAGTACTGGTACAATCCACAGACAATGTAAATTAAAAAGCCTCAAAGTGCATTGCTTATCACAATTATCCTTTTTCACCACCAGTTGACAAAATAGTCCGGATTACAGCCAGCAGACAAAAATATCTTTTTCTTTTAGGTAAAAACTGTAAATTAGACTCAAATTTTGTCAGTTTGCTCCAAAATTAGAGTTCATTTCCTAAAATATGGAAGAATATAAGAAAAAAGTGCATACAAATTAGGGCGAGAAAGTCTGGTGATGAAAAGGTTGAGACATCCATTTGAGATGTTAATACATTTCATGTGGTTCATGAATTCAAAAAGAATGCTGCTACACATATGGTTCCACTGCTTCTAATCTTGAAACGACTCATCAGGCACCATCATTAAAGGGGAACCGCTCAATCCCATGGATTGCACCAAAGAATCATGGGACACTATTGTTTATGTTGTTTACAATGTTAATCTATCTTTTGTTATCCATTGTTATTTTAATCCAGCAAGTAAATTTGTTGTAAAATTAATCTTAACTGGAAGGTGCCCCTTTAAGGTGGTGGAGGCTTGTGGAGGCGAAATTCCGTGGATGAAAACAAATTTCTTTGATTTCTGTGAATAAACACATAACGTATAAGAAAAACAAAAAATTAGCCCCCACCTACATAAGCTGCGTCGATGTATTTTATTAGTAATTAAATTAAATCTATGTAAACATGTAAAATAACAATAGAACTCATTGTTTTCCTGCCAAGTTTGTGAATTTAAAATAGTGAAAATAAGGGACAACATCAAAAGTTCAATGTAGGATAAAAAACTTAATTCCTTTAGTTTTTTCTCAAAGTTGGTTCTAGGTCCATGCCCTGAAATTGACCACATTTGACGCACATATTTACACTCTGACCAAACCATTTTCTTGTCTTGGAATGTTTTTTTTTCATTTTCTGTTATTTTTGTTCATGAAAAAGAAATGAACTACAAAGATTTGTTTGACTTTATTAAAAAATAAAATCGTTTTTGTAGGATGGAAACTTTTTGAGGTCAACCACCGATCTTTTGACGTTGTCCCTAAATGCATTTACAGTACTGATTTGTAGCTTATTTTTGTGATTGGATGGATCTACAAATGCAACCATACCTGATTTCATTGAGTGCTCTTTTATTTGCCAGTCTTACGTCTTCTGTGATTGGATACTTTCTGAGAAATTTGAATCCTAACATTGTCAGCATGAGTGGTGCAATAGACACCAGTATCCGAAGTGTATAACCCACGATTGGTGGTTGGGTGCATGCACCAGTGTCGTATCCTGCAAAACTAAATGCAAAAGACAAGTTTGAATCCCAAGTTTGTATATTCGATTTTCTGTTTCCTAGAAAACTACGAGATCTTGCTTATTGTGTGAAATGCGCAGATCGAACTTCAGCCAGAAAATATGATTGGATTTTAAATTTGAATTTTATAGCTCTATGTTGAAATGCTGATCTTTCAGAGGGGAATATGACATTGAGATCTATACGGGTAATTTGCAACTTTCCTGGAAAAGTCCTCATCAATTTACCAATAAACCTATCAACTTTCCATAGACGATTGAAACGACCGAAATAAGATTCGTACGAAAAAATTACAACTGCCTATATATAGTCACAACAATGTTGCAACAACTTAGCCGTAGTACGTACCTAGACAAGAATTAATTAGTTCAAAATCAAGTGGCGCCAGGGGAAACAAGAAATGTAGCAAATTGTTTTCATAACATTAGATCATTTAGAAACCTCCAATTAGAATGTCCGTTACTATATTGTGGAGTTCATAGGGAATTTGATAATTCCCCGTACGAATCTTGTTTGCACCCGCTGTAATCAAAATATGTATAGCATATTATTGAGTGGCAAAATAACCCCAAAATACATTCAAATCTAAATCCCACACGAAGTTTTGATCTCGCAAGTTTTTTGTTTGTTCTGTCGTTATGTTTGATTTGATGCATAACATCTTGAAGCAAATGGTCTATTTGGAGACACTACTGCAATACGGCATTTAAATCTTTCATTACCCTTAACCAAATGGAGATAATTTCCCATTGACTATAAATAGGTATTGATCAAAGTTTATGAAATTGTACAGCGCAAGATTATTTTGTGAAAATTAATTGAACTCCAAAAGAACAATTAATAAAACCTTGTTTTCGCTTACCCGAGTATCAGAGTTGATATTCCCAGTGCCATGCCAGAAGCAAATTTATTAAAAAATACATAAAAAGAAACAAATATTGCTTCTTTTCTTGTGCCTGTTTTCACTGTGAAGTCATCGATGACATCAGGAATCATGGACCTGAAAAAGAGATAAAAAAAAAAAAAATAAGTTTCAAAAGTGTTTTACATTACCTGGTAGTATCAAATAGTTATTATTGTAATCTGAGATTGTTGTGTTGAACTATCAATGCACAAGTTTGACAAGGATAAACTCAACATGAAATGATAAAGCAATTATTAACCGTGACTGAGAGGTATATCAAGATTTTTCTCCCTAATGTGACAATTACCTTGGCTGCACCTTTGTAGAAAAGTATCCCTAAGTTTAAAGTTAATAATTGTTTTGTCATCTCATCTTGTCAAACTCCTGGAGTGGTGGTAAGAATTGACCAAAATGTTTTGGGTGTCATATGGTCATTGCGTTTCCTATACACATGTCTGTACATCGATTTCAAGGTCTGGCATTTAAAGATCAGAATTTGCTTTTTTGAAAACATCTGCTGACTTGGTTGTACGTGTTTGCATGCTCATATTACCAGGGCTTATCATAGACAAGATTCAGTCACCTATATATATGGTTGGGGTTTTTTGGGGTTCCACATCTGTGCTGCCAAGAATTTTCTGATTATAGAATTTGAAGAACCAGCCTAAATACTTTTAAAATGGCCATTTTAAATTTACCACTTGCCAGCCAGCATGGTGGCAATTATTTACATATTCAAACCTGCGTGTGTGAAATCTGGGGGTGTTATTGAATAAACTGAGTGATTATGTTGTAAATTCCACGCGAGTAGATCTCGTCCTATCAGCTGGGAATACCGGTAATCGCGAATATGCAAGATGACAACAATCTATGTATTAAGTTGACATACACACATGTTGGTATAAATGCAAGTATTGTTTTTGTGCAGTATATTAATAATGGAACACAGGCAGTGTACTGGTACACATACCATAGATATATGAATGTATTAAAAAGTGGACTTGAATTCATGAGTCAAGCATTTGCTGGGAGGGGGGGGGTGTAAATATCAATAGTTCTAATGAATGGCATAAAAGGCTCTTATGTAATGGATACCATAATAAAAAAACAAAAATCTTCATTTGGGGGGTAGGGTGTTACATTGTTGTACAATGTGTATACACTGAAGTGAGAATCAGAGGTCAACTCTTACCATGGCAGCAAAAATGAGACTGCGACACCAGCACCAGAGAAGACAGAGATGCCGTGTAACAAGTGTTCATTGCCTGGAATTACCAGGAGAAGAACAACAACTGGTACAAACATCTGAGTGATAAAAACAAAACAATATATAAATATGGTGGCGTTTCTTTGGAAAACTTAAAAGCAGGCCTCCTTTGAACATCCTCAATAATGTATGCATGTATGCATGTCAGAGGTTACAGTTGGTCAAAGTGTATCTTAATATTCAGATAAATTTCAGCTGGCTTAAAGTGAGCTTAGTTTGCTTTCAAAAGTACCACAAATTGTGCAGAGTAATCCACCTAAACATATGTCACAGCATTAACATGGGTAAATATTACAAAGAATAAGTTAAAATTATTGATGATAATGAAGTTATAAAGTACTTTGAATTAACATCTCAGCCGGCTTTGTCTTTTTAGCTCCACTGTTGACTTTGTCTTGTAAAAATTAAGTTATATTTTTGACTTCTTGTTGTAAACCACAAGTCCGATTGCTTTAATATTACATATCTTGGTACTACATGTGGACCTCTCTCAGATTTGTTCTTTTCAATTCTCCAATTTTGATGAATATTTTTGTCATTTTTGGTAAAAAGTGATATTTTCGACTTCTTGTTAAAAACTGCAAGTCAGATTGCTTTGATACTATACATATACATGTAGATACTACAAGTAGACCTATCTCCGATTTGTTCATTCCATGATGTTACAATGTATCTTCAATTTTTTAATTTTGATGAATATTTTTGTAATTTTTGGTAACAAATTTTCGACTTCTTGTTAAAAACTGCAAGTCTGATTGCTTTAATATTATATATATTGGTACTGTACAAGTGGACCTCTCTCAGATTTGTTTATTTCTTGGTGGTCTCTTCAATTTTTTAATTTTGATGAATATTTTTGTAATTTTTGGTAACAAATATTTGACTTCTTGTTAAAAAGTGCAAGTCTGATTGCTTTAATATTATATATATTGGTACTACATGTACAAGTAGACCCTTCTCCGATTTGTTAATTTCATGATGATATCTTCAATTTTTTAATTTTGATGAATATTTTTGTAATTTTTGGTAACAAATTTTCGACTTCTTGATAAAAACTGCAAATCTGATTACTTTAATATTATATATATTGGTACTACATGTACAAGTGGACCTCTCTCAGATTTGTTTATTTCCTGGTGGTCTCTTCGATTTTTCTAATATTGATGAATATTTTAATTTGTAATTTTTGGTAAAAAGTGATATTTTCGACTTCTAGTAAAAAACCACAAGTCTGATTGCTTTGATACTATGCATATAGGTATTCACTGACAGGTAGACCTGCAGAGATATCTCAGCTGAGAGGCTGCTTGTTACAAAAAGTTTTTTGAAGTTAATTTCAACTATTTCTTTGTAGTATTTACCTATGTTACTCATAGAAGACATATTTAGGCAGACCATCCTGCAGAATTAGGATATATGGCAGTTTGGAAAGAAAGGTAAGCTCGCTGAAAGCTAAAAGCTAAATGGTAATTGAGTTACATTTGGACTGTACTGTATTATTTATAGACCTTATAGAAGATAAAGTCTAAGACTATCCTGAAATATTCCATGTTGCCTCCCAATTTTCAAAACAACAAGTCATTGAAAATGACACAGTCCCCGTTAAAATTGTGAAAGTTCTCTATGAGCTTGTCATACTAAAGTGGAGGCGTTGTTGCGAGCGTGTCCTTGAAACTTGAGACCAAAGTGGCGTATACAACAGATTGTTTATTTACATCAAATTTGACCACGTGTTGCGTGACGACCCCTCCAGTTTAAGACATAGCAAAGAAAAACATACCGGTAGATCACAAGTGAAAGCATGTCCAAGTTATCACATTTTAAACAAGATGGCCACCAGTCGGCCATATTTGATAAAATTGACATGCTAAATATCAATGAAAATTATACATAGGTGACAGAGATATAGTAATATGGCCAAAAATAAAAACAGCCATTATTTGGCGATCTTTGATCTGATTATGAAATAAAGTGATATGTATGATGTATGTGCCAAATACAAATGAAAATGGTACATAAATCTTGAAAATATAGTAGTAAGGTCAAAAAGCCATTTTCATAGACATGTATCCTAGAAGGTGTAATCTATGTACCAATTTTGAATGAAAACTGACAAAGCATGTCAAAAATACGACAGTTTCAAAAAACAAGATGGCTGCCAGTCGGCTAATTTGAATCAAATCACCAAACCACTGCACGTGCATATGTCCCACATAAAGTACTAGGCACATGCAAAGAATGAACTAAATTGGCCCAAAAGATTCTGAAATATGACTCCACACTGATGCATGCACAGACGGACGGACGGACAGAGAACGAATTATAAGTCCCCGTTTTCGGACTTTGTCCGAACAGGGACTAATTAATTATCACACTCATATAGATTCATGATGAGAAGAATTTATATGCATTAAAAAGTTACCTATTTAATAAGACAAGGGGGACATTCTGTTATCTGTCGTTTTATTGGAAGCTATACATGTATATGCACTGATATTGAAAGGAAATGTTTTCAGAGTTCTGTATACTGCTACTTACCATCATTCCTGTATAGAATGTTTTAATTTTTCCATTTTTTGTGATTAAATACTGCCATATGGGTATTGAGACAAGGGCCGATACCTGTAAAATGAAACAAAACATATTAAAATGGAAAACTAAATTAAGGCTTGAAAAACTTTTTTTTCACAATATCTGAAAATTATGGTGTATAATAGGCATACACTAACAATGTGATCTATGATTGACATAATTCACACTTGCAAATTACTTTTAAAAAACAATGACAAAAACAAGGAACTCCGTTCTATACAGAAACTGACACATGTATAAAAGTTTTTTCACTCCCGTCCCAACTATAACTTAATTGCCATTGACATGCGGAGAACCCCAACAACAGTCACTTGATGGATGTCTTTAATAATCCACCTTACCCCACAAATACTATTGAGTAATAACAAATCATAGGTATATTTAGCAGCGTTCTGGAAGTGTATTATGTAATTGCATTTAGTCATTGTCCATTTTATTACTTTTACATTTGTATGCAACATAACCCTCAATACTAAATATTATTATAATAATTCATCACAAAATGCAGTCAAATACATTGTACATACCAGCATTATAATAATAGGAATATGAAAGTTTGAAATTTCCAAAGAATATTTGCCATAGAGGACCAGGTTGCCTTGAATCGTCTGTAAAAAACTTTGAGTTAACATCAGTCATAAAAACAGCCTGTGTGAAATATTGATTGCTTTTTACTAGTAAATACACATACATGCATTAAGGTAGATGACATTCACACTATGGATTTATTTTATGATGTTGTTCATAAAACCCAGATAAAAAGATATCGCCACCAAACTACTTTTTACACAAAACACGGTACATACAATTTGTGATTTTAATCCATTGATAAAATGGTTTCATCATATATCCAAATTGTGTTTGTTATATATGGTGATAGTTGTTAGAATGATTATGATTAATTATTCATGAAATGTAATTCAATTTAGTTTCCAAAGAAAATTGTTCCAAAAATGACCACTTTTTGTCTTTATCCCAAAAAATATTTTGTAGAGGAAACAAAAAAGAAGGTTATAAGATTCAACACAATTAAATATGTAACACAGACGAAAAAAAATAAATTGTTATAAATTTTTCATTTCTATTTATTAGATTGAATTCCCATGGATGACAAGTCATTGTCAATGACACGTCCCCGTTCCGTTCATATTTGAGTGACATATACATTCAAAGCAGATCATGACCGAAATGCACCTGCATATGTACAACACATTGTTCTAAATCTGAACAAAATCCATCCATGCATGACTGAGATCAGGTTCCGGAATTGTGAAAATACGTGATTTTGATGCATTTTCGGCCTTAAAATGGCCATCATTCAGCTATTGTTAAGCGGATCATGAAACAAATGCA